CGAAGCGCTAGCGTGATGGATACGCAGAAATACGCAATTGCGGTGTAGATAAGCTCATAACCGAATGCTGGATAACGTGCCGTCCTCTAGCGAGAGCTTGAAACGTGATAATGGGGTCAGAAGTTACTTGTTCTTGTAAGCGCTGTTGCAAATGTGCCGTGTAATAAAGTCCCGTCCGCGTTGTCAGTTAAATGCAAACAGTCAGTATAGTTGGATTGTATATAGCTTGTTCTGTCGTATTTAAAAAGAACGGGCTTGTTCCAGGCCGCCCAGACTGCCACCGGTCGTCACTTCTGTGGATGGTTTTCGTCATTCTACTCCAGCTACGCGTGTTTAGCACTTGAATTCTGTTCGCGTACACTATATCACTTGTATATATGTCACTTACCACTTACATTACACTTACACTTGTAATAATCACTTACACTTATAATAGAGCGCTGTCATATATTCACAGGCTGGTGAGTATTTCTTCTTCCGCAGGACTTAAATTTCAAAAAGTCGAAATTAAGTATGTTACGTCAGCAGCATAGTCACATCTGACGAAGTGGCAACTTTACAAACGCTGGCTATTCGCCTCCACACATTCAACTTGCCTTTGTCACAATGCCGAATGGTTCGAGTCAGTGATATAAACGTCATCTAACGGCAAGGCCACGTCCGATGGGTTCATTTGCGAACACTGGTGGATATTTCTCCAGTCGCAATGCTTCCAGTGAACGGACTGGGTGGAAAGATCTTCTAGGCAAATCGTAATTGAATAGTAGTCTCTGAGAGAGCACTGGCATTGATATTTAGAGGTTAGGAGTTGTGTGCGTGGGACGTACGTAAATAAGTGTGCCCGTGTGTCGCAATGCGTGTGCGCTGTTGTGTGTATTTTAGATGTATGTGCTGCTGTGCGTTGTATAAATGTTGCATTGGCGTGTGCCATGTCTGTCGTTCGCGTAGCTTGTGTCCGGTGCGTGTGTGTGCTGTGTGTGTGTGCTGTGTGTGCGTGCGTGCGTGCGTGCGTGCGTGCCTGCTTGCGTGCGTGCGTGCGTGCGTGCGTGCGTGTGTGCGTGCGTGCCTTTACGTGAAGACGAGTGTGTGCAGACATATCAATGCCATGCTCCCTCGGAGACAGGCTATTAACCGCACGCATGCTTTCTCTTTTTCGCGTTCCCACAGTTCGCAAACCAACCCGACGAGTACGGTGAAGTGCTGCGCTATTTGAACATGACGTTCACCTGTCTGTTTACGGTCGAGTGTATTCTCAAGATGATAGCTTTCGGCATCAGGGTAAGGGCCACGTCGATGGCACGAAGAGTACGCTGCCAGGGTATAGACTATCAGCCGTTGGACTGCATGTACGGCTAGCTGTCCATTCGCTAACGCGACAGGTCGTCTGAGAGCGGAGGTGGCCCCCTCTGTGTGCCCTCTTCTAGTGCTGCGCGCGCATTTTCGCGCAGCAAATGTATGCTTATCTGCGTGCAACTTTTCCTCACAACGAAATTCTAGTAGGCTGCGTGCAAACCGTCAAGCGAAAACACTTCGTACTAAAAAAATTTTAACGAATCTGCGCCAGTTGTTTTTTGGATAAAAATTCAACAGAGGGAGCCACATCCACCGTCGCCTTCGCGCTGAGCGACAAGCTGGTCAATGCTGGTCCAACGTCTTGCCGTGCAGTTGGGCCTAGCGAGCCGAGCGTTGGTCATTGTTCTCTATGCTCAGCGACTCAGTGACTGGTCACGATGCTGCTGGACTGAGAGCACTGACCAACGGTCGCGCCATTTTTACGCGGCCCTGGTGAGCGCCGTTTCGATTAACGTTGCCTTTCTTTTCTTTCTGCCCCGCCCCGGTCTGCTTGGTGCTTGGCCACCACTGCAGCACAACGATCCCGACCTTACATACCTGCAAATGCTAACCTATATGAATATGGCCTTCACACTGTTGTTCACCATCGAGTGTGCCCTGAAGCTGGCGGCGTTCGGATGCAAGGTCAGTCAGAGACAACATTTTGTCGTCATGGTAACGGGATGCGGGGCGCTAGTGGCCTCTTCTCACACAAAATACTACGTCACTCCTGGAACCAGTGCGTGCACCTTTAACATTTCCGCGTGCAGACGCGTTGCTAGGCGTCCGTATCGCAACTAGACGCGTAAAACTTTCGGGCACTGCGCTAAACGTACGTTGATGTGGTTAAGGTTAAGCGTTTCGAAATATGATTTTAGAACGTGAAGAAATTTCGTCTTGGCAACAAATAAAGCAAAAAGTGCGGTGATATATATATATATAAAGTTGCTCAGCCGAATTAGTCCGTACTTATAGATATATATATATATATATATATATATATATATCCCTTCTTTGAATCATTTTGTTTTATGCATTGCTAATTGGCTGTTTAACGGTGAAGGTAATTAAGGATCAGTAGATGTCGTAGCTATGGCATGGTTTGGTGGCGGTGGCGCGCTACAAACGCGGTTGCACCTTCGTGTCGAGTCGGTAATTTTGAAATAATCACACATATCGATCAACAGCTGTAGACAAACAATAACGTTATATAAACAAGTGCCTAATAAACCGCTCAAATATTATGGAACAATTGTTCGCTGCTGCTACTAAAGTAAACACACGTGTCTTGTTACAGACGATGCAGCGAGCATGGGAAGCAAGGACAAGTCCGCAGACGATCCCATCCAGCCGTTCGGTCCGAAACCAATGCTACCGTACACATCATTGTTCATTCTGTCTCCTACCAACCCGTAAGTATATACTGTTATCATCATATCAACGTGCGGCACCTATACACGCGCGCCCACACATGCACGCACGCTCCCACGCGATTTTCCCAACGTTGACTGTTGTTTAACGTTATAGAGAGCGGAAAGTGTTAACTTGACCTTTGTCAACGATGTAAGCTATTGCGGGTAGCGGTAGATAACAATGGTCAGGGTTGCGGTTATTACCTGGTAAGTAACCGGGTACAGGGTAAGGAAGCTAGTAAGACCTAGCCATTGTCAACATTCCCTGTTACTAAGCCTGACCGTTGCTATGGTTACAGGATGCGGAGGATAGCGATGCCTATCCGTCGTCAACTTTAGCCGTTACTAAGCTTGACCGTTGCTATGGTTACAGGGTGCGGAGGCTGTGCCACTTCGTCGTCAACCTTCGCTACTTCGACATCTTCATCATGCTGGTGATTCTAGCGAGCAGCGTCGCGCTGGCGGCCGAGGATCCCGTCAAGGAGGACTCGCAGCGCAACCACGTTCTCAACCTGCTCGATTACGTCTTCACCGGCGTCTTCACCATAGAGATGCTGCTAAAGGTCGGAAATGCTGCGGGGCCATACGTGTACATGTGTGTGTGTGGGGGGTATATATATGTGTGTGTGTGTGTGTGTGTGTGCGTGTGCGTGTGCGTGTGCGTGTGTGTGCGTGCGTGCACGCACTTTTTGCTTTTATTTGTTGCCACAGACGAAAATTTCTGTACTCACGTTCCTAAAATCAATATTCGAACGCTTAACCTTAAGCCACATCAAGCGTACGTTATAGCGGCAGGTGCCCGAAAGTTTTACACGCGTCTCGTTGAGTGCGATACGGACGCTAGCAACAGCGTCTGCATCGCCGGAAATGTTAAAAGTAGCATGCACGTGGGTTCAGAGTGGACGTAGTATTTTGTGGTGAGAAGAGGGCCACTAGCGCCGCCGCATCCCAGTTACCCAATGGACGAACAAAATTGTTGTCTGCTGACTGAGCCCTTGCATCCCGAAGCGCCCCAGCTTCCAGGGCACACCTTCGATGGTGAAACAACAGTGTGAAGGCACCCTATTCCATATAGGTCTTAGCATTTGGCAGGTATGTAAGAGTCGGGAATGCGTTGTGCTGGCAGGTGACGTGGGCCAAAGCACCAGCAGACAGGGGCGGGCAGAAAAGAAAAGAAAAGAGCAACGTTAATCCGATAACGGCGCGTCACGGCAGAGGCCGCGTAAAAATGGCGGCGACCGTTGGTCAGTGGCTCTCAGTCTAGGCAAGGCATTCGTGACCAGTCACGTGAGTCGCTGAGCATAGAGAACACATGACCAACCGCATCGCTCGTCGCTAAGGCCACTGCATGCGGCAGACGTTGGCGCAGCATTGACACCAGCTTGTCTGCTCAGCGCGAGCAAGGCGACGGTGAGGTGGTGGCTCCCTCTGTTGAATTTTTATCGCCAAAAAACAACTGGCGGCTAGATCTCGTTAAATATTTTGTTAGTAGCGAACGTGTTTTGCTTTGACCGTTCGGCACGCAGCACCTACTGAATTTTTTGTGAGGAAAGTATCACGCTAGATAATGCATAACATTTGCATGCGCGAAAAAATCGCGCGCAGCACTAGATGTACGACCGAGGGCAGCACGAGGGGCTCACCTGCCGGCTGCTCAGAGCGACGGCCTGTCGCGTTAGCGAATGGACAGCTAGCCGTACATGCAGTCAAACAAGCTGATAGTCTATACCCTGGCAGCGTACTGCTATTCGTGCCATCGACGTGGCCCTTACCCTGGGATGCGAAAGTATCATCTTGAGATACATCTCGACCGTAAACAGACAGTGTGAACGCAGTCCATGTTGCAAATTAGCGCTAGCACTTCAACCGTACATCGTCGGGTTGGTTTGCGAACTAGTGCGAACGCGAAAAGAGAAGCAATGCGTGCGTTAATAGCCTGTTCTCCGCGAGGGATGCAATGGCATTGATATGTCTGCACACACTCGTTCTTGCAACGTAAAAGGCACGCACGCACAACACGCACGCCACGCAGGCACGCACGCACGCAAGGCGGCACGCACGCACGCACGCACGGACGCACGCGACGCACACACACACACACACACGGACACACCACACAGCAAGCACGCACGGGCAAATGCACACGCAATGCACATATTATCACGCACAAGCACATCATAGAATACACACACACGCGCACATAAGACGCATGCACACACGCGGGCACCACTTATTTAAAGCCGTGACGTCCCCACCACACAACTCCACCCTCTAATATGCAATGCAGTGCTTCTCCGAGACTACTACAGTTGCAATTAGATTTAGCCTAGAAGGATCTTTGTCCCACGCAGCCAGTCCTTCACAGAAGACATTTCGGCGACTGGAGAAATATGCACCAGTCGCAGAATGATGCTGCTTTTGAACTTTATCATGGACTCGAACCATTCCGGCATTGGTGATACAAAAGGCAGGTTATGTGAAATAGCAGGGCGTTGTAAAGTGCTCTTCTCAGATGTGATATGCTCGTGACTGTAACACTTGAATTCGACTATTTTGAAATTTAATAAAGTGGGAAGAAAAATCCTCACCGGGGCTGTGAAAAATAACAGGATTATATGAGACTATGAGCGCAGAGGGGGTTTGGGTCGGTACAATTACAGATGGTAGTAAGGCTGCACTTTGATAGATTTTTTAGCAAAGAATATATGTCCTAGAATATGGGAAAGAAAATGTGATAAGCAGTGTATAACTCTCGCCAATCATCTGTGTTATCACCACCGAAATAGTATTATACCCTGGCCCTCTTTGCTATCGGGCGCAATATGTGTCTTTGTCAAATTGGAATAAATATTTTTTTTAAGGAACCACAGAGTGCCAATCAATGTGCATACTGGAGTGCTAACTAATTATGTAATATAAATATAGAACATTTGTGGGGTTTATTTTGTTCAAAAGTTTATGGATATAATGACTAAAAAATATGTAAATTTAGTGGAAAAAGGTGGCCGAAATCGCGTTGAACATTCAAAATTCAGCATTGCAGCGTTCATAATTCACCAAATGAAAACTCCCAGAGTAACAATATTTACCCATCAAAAACTTACAAGGACCCACAATGCATGAATATATCATTACTTTTGTAATATGGTGGGTTGTTTGTGGCAGCATAGTCTTAGGCCAAAATTTCAACATAACGCCCCCTAATTTTTGATATTTTTGGGCAACGAAAACATAGATTTTTGAAGCATTTTTAGTTTTAGGTATTAATTTTTTTGTATTAGGCTTAGTATCCCATGGTAGGTATGTAATCATCAGGTACATTATATTTCAGCAATAGCATGCTTTGATATGACTAAAAATATGTTAAATTTATAGTTGAAAAAGTGGCCGAAATCGCTTTGACTTCCAATTCACATTGCACCGGTTCTGTTCGATATTTCAGCAAGATGGGCTGCAACTGGGCCAGTTGTGTTTTTCTGGAAAGATGTAACAACGCGAGAAGGTATGTGCACAGTTGTGTGGCCAATGAAGCATTGCATGAGACTGAGCATCGGAAGGCAATTCATCTCCATGGGTTGAGAAAAAACAAACCAGAAGAAATAGCAACAAGCGACATAACATCCTGTGTCAGAAGACGGAGTGAGTGAATTTGGTCGAAGAGAACCATTTTGTGACAACAAGAAATTTGGGACAGTGCTCTCTGGCAAACCGCGCAAAATACACGGAGTTAGTCAGCCTACCGTGGGATACGAAATTCTTGAGACTATGCTTCGCATTAAAAACGGAGAAACTCTTAGGCCTTTTGATGTCTTATGTGGAGCATAGTGAAAACGTCTTTGCTTGCGCCTGCTGCGTGGCTGGCTCAAGAAAGGAAAATTGGGTCTTGCATCTCTTTGGCTAACCGCAGCAACATGAATGCTCGCTGAGTTTTGGCACCATACAGACAGGATTTAACTATGCTAACGTACCTAGCCAGTCGTATTATGCTGAGAGACCAATCTGGCAGCAATCATCCCAGGCTGTGTAACCAGCTTTCTGAGTGGTTCTGTTCTCTGTTCAAGCTATCCTGTCACAATGACATTTGGACGCATTTTCGTTAACCAAACGACTGAAGTCACTGTGAAGCAAGGACCAGCATCAGACTCCAGGAGGCACAACAATAGGTTTAGTCTAAAATCAGGAGCAGTCAAGCACTAATTGACATACCTGGCAGAACACAGGTAGTGCCTTTCTTGCTCAGATGAGGGAAGATGGTACATGAAGATGGATCAATATGTTCCAATCAATGCTGATCTGCACAAAGACGACGTGTGAGGAAAGGGTTGAGGATGCTGTTTTCGAACAATCGTACATCTGGCTGAAAGGCTGTGTAAATCCATTTGAAGAAGCCCACGAACTTATCAGTAATCCTCGGACCGCAAAAAAAAGGCCTCAAGATTATCTGCTCAGGATTTGAAGATGGCCAAGAGACATTGAGAGTTAAATGCTACACGACTTCAAAGCTGAGAGACTCGAGACGGCCCACGGCACCAAACGCTATTCATGATGCATGAATAATGAAACAAACTGAAGAACCTTATCAGCAATTTAATGCAAGAAGAAAAGTCCAGATGAGTGGGGCAGATCCGTCGATGATGCTTCAGAGTGACAGAGCATTGTTTGGTGCGCATCAATTGTGATGGCAAAGCAGACGAAAATCTGCAAATACTTGATTTAACTATTCATCGCTCTTGCTGCTATTACCATGGGCACTGGCAACAGGCCCAGAAGTCTTTACTGTAAAACCAACAAGGCTGCTCTGCTAGTTATCTAGCAAGAAGAATGCCGCCACAGCTGAACAAACTTCCCTGATCATTCTGGCAAACAATAATAGATGGATATAGCATAATGCAGAAGGTGAAGGGGATCAAGCTCAACTTTTGAGGAAAATTCCCAGTTTTGTTTTGTGTCATTGGCACTGAAATGATGACAGCACCTAGTGACAGGAGTCGAAATCGTCTTTCGACACGCTACAATAGATACATACCATCAAGAACTGTGAAAGGCTCGCCAAGAGGAGATGGAAGCTTGGCCCTGATAGCCTTCAAAGAACATTACAGCATGCGTGCAAAATTGTAAGCAATGGAGAAGCTGTCTTTGCCCATGTTTGGAATAAAGTCTAGCCTTCATTTTCATTTCTGGTGAGCGAAATGGAGAAACGCAGATTACACCCAAGCGTCTGAGATGGAAAGGTGCTAATTTGTCATCACTGGAAAAACAAGTTTGTTTAGCAAAATCACCACGGAAGGCACCACCAAGAGAGGTGACTTGAGCTTCAAGTACAGCACGAGAAAGCAGATGGTTGACTCTTACTTTCACGCTGCTGCATGCTGCACAGACCTGGATATCCAGCCAGTTGTAATCAGCGTCCGATGACACCGAAGTATTCATGTCATTGGGTTGGCGTTTCATACTCAAATTCAATCAGCATTGGTTCCCGAAATGTGCCAAGGCTAAAGATCGGAAACAAATCATTACATTACCAAAATTGGGCAGCTTTCAGTGGGCGCAGATGTCTTGTCAT